GAGAGTGAAAGATGATGCCATTAGTAATTATTACAGGACAAAAGACCAGTTCTGGGACTGGTAATCTAAGTAAGCTAAGTCCCAAGTAATCTAAGATGTATGCCATCCAGCTTTAAAGGAAGTCATAGGAAGGAAGCCAAGCACCTAACCAGCCAAGACTAGCAATTTGCCTCTAGAATAAACAGCACAGAGTGAACCGGAATTCAGACCATGCAAAGGTGGAACCGTGTATGCATATGTGTATATAGGGGGGTGTGTGTGTGTGCATATACCAAGTGGTAGGTCTGCTATGTTCACAGAGAAAAGCGTAAGTGACAACATGTTGACAGCACCCTAGAGTCCCAGTGAAGCCTTAGATATGGGGCCGTCACTCAAGAGAGTCTAAAGGCTCTTTGTGAAACAGGCCCTCTGTAAACCACCCCTCATGCATGGCCAGAACCCCCATGGATGGCTCCGGGAGGGTGAGGGCCCACTCACCTGATATTGGGGGAAGGTGGAGTGATTTGAGAACACTGGTGGAGGTGGATAGTTCACGTTGAGCCAGAGCGGCTGATTCACGGTTGCTGAGGTCAAGGCTGTGGCAAAGCGTGGGGTGTAAACGTTCCCTGCATACTTGTGGTTGTTCTTGTCGGCAGTGGTGGCAGGTGGGTTAACTGTAAGTCACAGGGAGAGACACAGCGGATCAGTGAAGGAGGCAGGGAGGGGCCACACTTGTCCCAGGGATTCATATTCTCACAGCTTAGGTTTTTTAACCTCCAGGAGGGTTCCTCAAAGTTCTGGGCGAATTTTCAGCGATAGAGAAACAATCATTAGTTTACACCTTGCCAGTTTGGACGGGATGAAAATCCCAGCGCCATCTGCCTTAGAGCTTCTCTTTCCGTCTTTCACTAGTAAAGGAGGCAGTTTAGCAAGGGAATATAATAACCCAGATGGCCGGGGCTGTATTTCACCTACTTACAAACTGAAATTCTTTCAGGTGCTTCAGAAAAATCCAGCTTTGTGTGAACGATTGTTATGCATTGGAATTCATTCTCATCAAGCGATTAAAGCAGCCCCTCACCAGGACATATACTTGGCAACACTGAGAACCTAGTGCAGGTTGTTGGACCAACATGGGAGTAATTATTTAATACGTTAAAACATTAACTAATCCAGCGTGGAGTGTCTCAGTACTAGTTGAAGTGAATGAAGGTAGGTTGAATGTTTTTCAGGATATGAATGCTGGATTCTTCCCTTCTCCAAGACATCCTGTGGGCTTAGAGAATCAGAAATCGGTCCTCAGTTTCCCCTTCATTGGTGTCCTTATTAAAAAAAGAGGTTTGACTAAAATAGTTGCAGGTGAGCAAGGGGGAAAAAGCAGAGACATAAATAATCTTAATTAGAAATAGTCTGAAGTATGGTTTTGCTTTGTTTTAATTTGTTTGGGGGGGCTTGGGCAGTTTGAAAGGATATGATATGTGCTGGGTCAGGACTACATTCAACACTGACCCCTAATAATCCCCATGTGAGCCCTGAAAGCCAACCGCCTTTCTCTAGCAATTGCATTCTCAATAAGAGACATAAGAATGACGTCATTTTTCCTATTTCATGGGTTTAAAATGGATACCTTCAGAAAGGGAGTGACTCGCCCACGGATAAGACAGCCATTGCCACCCCTGGGGCCTATGAGGGTTTCTGGAATCACTTCCTCTGTCATCTCCCCCCGGGCAGGTCAGCTTACGTTTCAGCTCCAGCCCATCCACTTCAGCTTTGCTGCGAAGCTTCAGCTGTCCGCTTGGGTTCTTTGTGGCCCCGAAGAACTCATAGAGCAGATTCTTCTCGGCCGGCCATGCTGGCTTCTTGGTTGGCAGCGCCATAGACATGGTGCCAACTGGGTCACTGCAACCCTCCTCACCGCAGCTGTCCTTTCGACTCTGGGGCCACTGGCTGAGGAAGAGGCTCTCTCGACCTTTGGTCAGCTCTTTGGTGCCAGGGTTCCGTTCTATGACACGAAGGAAACTGAGTCAAGACCTCTGGAAGGCAAAGTGCCAGGTGCCAGGAGCACCTTCTTATGGACTAAATAAGACGCCATAGCATGCACCTAGGGCTCAGAGCACTCTGGGGGGCTCTCTCTCAGCCACATACAGCCCTAGTCTCCCCTAAAGCCTTTCCTGACTGCTGCCTTCTCATCTGTCCGTCTCATGCATCCACATATTCACGCACCCACCCATCCATGTGCTCCTCCATCTTTGTCTTCCTTCCCTCTGCTCATTCATTCTTCCTTTCATCCTTCCCTACTTCTAGCCATCCCCGGGGCCAGGCTGGGATCTAAGGAAGACTTAAGCACAGTTCTTGCCCTCAGTGAGCACATGGCTCCTATAGGACACGTGGTCTCCTTCACCGTGGGCTCTGCTTCTGTTTCATTGCTCACTCATTAGTGCCAGGCCCTGACCTGAGTGCTGGGGACACAGCTGTGAGTCAGCGCCAGCCTGTGCCCTGCAAGAGCTCACAACACGGAAGAAGAGAGAGACATGCCCAGAAATAGCTCCAGGACAAGTTCTCTGGGCACCATGGGGGGACAGAGGAACAAACTGGAAGAAGAGGGTGCTTGAGACTGCTTCTGTCTGAGAGAGTCCTTCCTTCCATGCAGGAAGTAGGGGTTCAGCAAGACCTTACACCCTGGAGTTGAGGAGAAGGAGGCCCAGTGAGCCTGGGGAACTGTGGGCAAAGGCCTGGAAACATCAGAGGGACCTGGATATAGCTGGAGATGGACCAGAGATGTGATTGGCACCAAACCCAGGTCTCTCTCCAAAGACACTGGGCGTTCATTCCCCCAGTGCAGGGACGCTGTCTGGACCATCCTGGGGTCCTCCACAGCAGGGCTCTGCACACATTTGTTCTTCAGCAATGGAAATCTTTCTGCAAACAAAACTTAAGTATGGGGAGGAAATTATGTATAGCTGTTTAATTTGGTTATTTGGGGGTTGTTTGTTTGTTTTGAGACAGTCTCACTCTGTAGCCCTCAGTAGAGCACTGTGGTGTCATAACTCACAGCAACCTGCGGGTTGCAACCCCTTTATAACAATGAAAATACATCACGGCATTAGGAAGGTTGAGAACCACTGCGGTCTAACTCCTAGGCTTAGGTGGGTCTCTTGCCTCAGCCTCCCAAGTAGCTGGGACCATTTTTGTTGCAGTCGTCATTGTTGTTTAGCTGGCCTGGGCTGCATTTGAACCCACCTGCCTCAGTGGGCACCCTAACACTGAGCTATGGGTGCTGAGTCATGTTTGTTTTGTGTTTCTGAAACAGGGTCTTGTTCTGCAGCCCAAGCTGGAGTGCTGTGGCATTATCCTTCCTCACTGCAGCCTCAAAGCCCAGAACTTGTGCAGTCTTACCACCTTAGCCCCCCAACACAATGGGATTCCAGGCCTGAGCCACTGCTCTTGGCCTAGTTGTTTGGTTTGCTTTTTGGGGTATTGCTCTGGGTGAAGCAGGGAAGAGATACTTGTCCTCCCAGTCCAAGTCACTCCAGCCTCAGCCTGGAGGTCTTTAAAACTCTGCCACCCACCTGGCGGCTCTGTACCGTGCTGGACACAGAGGAGGCGCCTGGGATCTCCCTGGTAGCAGCTGGAGCAGATGGCCTGTGCCTGAGTTACCTTCTGGGAAAGGATTGATCCCCCCAGCCCAGTGGCTTGGGAGCTGAATCTGGATAGGACTGGGCCTGCCCACCTAGCCCCATCACAACAAAGAAAAGAGCTGCTCTAGCCCAAGCCGATTTTCGAGACATTTTTAGTAAATCACATCTCTGGGGTCTCTTCCAAGAGTTTCTCCAGTTGCTGGGTTTAGCCCCTCGCCAGTGCACTGGAATAAGAGTGCCCACTGATAGTAGCCTTTCCCCAGCGACACACACCCTCCAGCCTCTTACTCACAACTACAGTCGCCTTAAACATCTACACATCTCCCTGTCTGTGAGGGACACAGACACGCACATTACTTCCTGACGTTCCTTTGACTCCCTCACAGATACACAGCTACGCACAGGACAGACACACGTGCACGCTAGATGAACTGCTCCTGCCTCATCTCTGGCAAACACTCGCGCATCAGCAGAGCTCCCTTCAGCACACCTTTGCCCCCACATCTGTACACGCAGACACACACCAGCCATGGGAAGGTGGTGTGACAGGACTATCCCCAAACCAGCAGCCCGAACGGACAGAGAGGCATCTGTGGGTCCCTCCTGGAAAACAGTTGGAGGAAGGTCCTGTCCACCCTCTCACACCCACAGTTCCTCATCCCAAAGCCCTCTGGCTCCTAGAGGCCTTGTCAGGACCCAGAGTGAGCCTGGCTGCCCAGAGCTTTGTTTCCCGGGCCTTCCTGCAATGCTCTAGGACACAGAATGTTCTCTCAGGCAACCCTGTTGCTATTTCTTAGGGAAATGAATTTGGGCCCTCCTGATATGGGCATCTCTAGTTATCTGTCCATGCCCACAGCCTGGGCATAATTCTTCTCTCGGTTGACATGAATGTGATCTACTCTGCTTGTGACTGCTGACTGTAGGCAGATGCCACTGCCATCAGTCTGCCTTCTTGGAACCACTTGGTCTGAGTAGCTACATCACAACAAAAGGCAGAATCCTGGGGTTAAGGTGGAGGAAACTTGGGAGGTGACTGGACTTCCTGGGAAGAGTGAGGTCTCCTCAATTAGGAGATGGGAATGTGTGCCAGGCATGGTGGCTCATGCCTATAATATTAGTACTCTGGGAGGCTGAGATGGGTGGATTGCTTGAACTCAGGAGTTCAAGACCAGCCTGAGCAAGAGTGAGACTTCATATCTACTAAAAATAGAAAAAAAAAAAAAAAAAAGCAAAAAAACAACTAGCTGAGCAGTGTGGCAAGTGCCTATAGTCCCACCTATGCTGGACACTGAGGCAAGAGGATTGCTTGAGCCCAAGAAGCTGAGGTTGCTGTGAGCTATGATGATGCCATGACATATAGCACTCTATCCAGGGGGATAATCAAAAAAAAAAGGAAGGAAGGAGGGAGGGAAGGAGGGAAGGAGAGAGGGAGGAGAGAGGAGGGGAGGAAAGGGGAGGGAAGGGGAGGAAGTAGCCAGATTTTGTGGCTCAGGCCTGTAATCCTAACACTCTAAGAGTGAGGAGAGAGGATTGCTTGAGCTCAAACAGTTCAAGACCAACCTGAGTAAGAGCAAGACCCATCTCTACTAAAAATAGAAAAGTTAACCAGGCATTGTAGCGGGGGCCTATAGTCCCAGCTGCTCAGGAGGCTGAGGCAAGAGGATCCCTGGAGCCCAGGCATTCGAGGTTGCTGTGAGATAGGCTGACACCACAGCACTCTAGTCACGGTGACAGAGTAAGACTCTGCCTCAAAAACATTACAAAAATAAAAAATATTTTAAAAAGAAATGGGAATTCCCCAGGGAACAAATTCCAAGGCCAGCACTCTGAACTGTGGCTGGATAATTTGTACATCTGCCCTCTGCCCCGGAGAGAGGACCTGCCCTCATGGCTAGAACAGGGGCCTCCATTAGACACAAGTGACCCTGGCTGCCAATCAAATTTCTCTCCCATCCATCTTAGAGTCCCCATGCAACAGTGTCACCCTGCACCCCAGCGGGAGGAAACACTTTTTTCAATGTACTCTGACTACCTAGTAGACTCAAAAATTGAGCCAGTTACTACATGGTTCCTCTGTCTCTCTCAGAGCATGTTGGGATCAGGGCCCCTGGGTTTGCTTAGCCAGGCTGTGCCCTCCAGCAAAGGAGGCCTGTGGGGGCTGAGAGCAGCCTGCACCTGGGGACTGTGCCCAGCAGAGAGGCTGCTTTGTCCTGCTTTGCACAGAGATGCTTTGTGCGCACACTGCAGCCCTGACTGGCTTCCCAGGAAGGGCCTCCTCTGTGCCGGCCGGCTCTCTAGCCCTGTTCCAGCCCACTCACCCGTCAAGTTATGCCCCTCCACGGCCGGGTCAGTCTCAGGCTTGGAGCAAATCTTGGCAAACACTGGGAGCTGCCTCTTCTGAGCAGAGAGCTCAGGGAGCTTTTCAGGGGCTGTGGGAGGAGGCGCGGGTGGCGGCAGCAGGAAGGGGCCCAGCCCCACGGGCTCCCTGGGCCCGAGGCCACTGAACATGCTGTTCTGCAGGAAGTCCTTGATGGCTCTCGTCTCCTCCAGCACCATCTTGTTGTCAGGGGCCTTGGACACCTCGGTGGACTTCAGCGGGAACTGTGCCAGGAGCTTGCTGATCTCTGAGTTGGAGGCACCCAGGCCGTGGCCCCCGTTGTCTGTCCCCTTGGCACTCTTGACCTTGGCGGCACGCAGGATGCCTGTGACTGTAGACATGGCAGAATCACAGTCCTGTCGACTGCTGATAAGGGGCATGGCCACCTTCTGCTCCAGGAGCTTGTCACAGGTGCTGATGGAGGCTCTGGGGCGCTCACTACTGCCTGTCACCAGGGGAGATACCAGGATGCAGGCAGTTGGCTCTTTGGTGCCCTCGGCAGAGCCAGCAGATGCCTCCAGCTCCCCTGAGCTCTCTTTGACCAGGATGAGGTGCTCTTTGGTGAGGCTCAGGAACTCCTGCTCCACCAACAGGGAGATCTCATCTTTGCCGCTGCTCAGCTCCAGAGCTCTGCAAACGGGTCAGAGAGACAGACAGTGTTAGTGCCAGCTTGCCAAGGGGTGGTTCTGCAGCAAGATGCAGGCCCCGGTAAAGGAGATGGGTACATGACATGACAAAAATGCATTTCCAGGTAAAGGAACACACTGCCTTCCCAAAAGAGAGAAAATGGGCACCCAGTGGACTCCCAAGAGAGCTCTGGACCACACCAGCAGGGCACAGTACCCAGAGGACAGTTCTGGGAACAAGAATCCCTGAGTCCTCTTCCAAGAATTTTGCTGAGTGAGCTGGGGCAAGCCACAGCCTCAGTGAGCCTTAATTTTAGTCCATCCCTGCCATTCATCACGCTTAGAACCTGACACAATAAATGACCAGAGAGGTAGCTCAAAATCTTGTACAGCAGCAAAGGTGTCCAGAGTGAACCGACAGCTCTAAGCACAGAATCCAGAGCACTAAAGCTGAGCTCTAGGAAGCCCCAGGAGCACAGCTCAGCCCCCCTTGTCTACTCATTGCATAATGATGTGTGACCCTGGGCAGTTGGTTCCGCATCTCAGTACCCTGGTCTCCTCATCTGATTAACAGGAACATCAGAGGTACAAAGCTCTTGAGATAGCATCTGGCAGAGTGTGGGGGTATTTAGGGCCAGGACATATGTAGGACATATGTAGGCCTGGCTGGGGCTCTACACCCAGGCTGTGACTCCACAGATACACTCGTCCACCGGGGCTGGCATGGCCTCTGACCAGATAAGGACCTCTGTACTGGGCTTCATTTTATGGGTTGGCGCCAGCAGTTGGTTGGGCCCTGCACTGATCCACAAGGATCTCCCTGTACCTAAATGCTGGCCTCTACCTCTGCTTCATACCCTGAACCCTCAGGTGGGCCTTTTCTGGCTGGCACCCGCCTGATGGCACCCGATGGTCCCCTGGACTCCAGGCTCTTTGTTGCTGGCTCTCTGCAGGTGTTGGAGGGCGTGGCAGCCCCTGCCCCAACAACATCCTTGGCAAAGAGCGTCTTCCTCCCCGGTGCTCCCAGGGGGACCAGAGCCATCACCTCAGAGCCATCTGCCATCCCTTCTCAACAGGTTCCTGCGAGGAGAGGAGGATGAGGTGGCCTGCACCAAGCACTCTGTCTGGGACACGGTGGGAAAAGATGATAAAAGGCAGAAGGAAAAATGAAAGAGTGGAGCTCAGCTGCTGTGCTCAGGCTTTGCAGACAGGGAGGCTCCGCACACGTTCCAGCTCTGATCACCCACTCAGAGGTCACAAGGAGTCCTGAGAACAGCCACCAGGGAATACTCCCAACAGGGACCATGCCAGACACGCACAGTGCACCTGGACATATACACACGTGCGCTTGATGCTCACACAACACATGAACAAAAATAGGCTGGCATACAACTCAGGTGCCACCATACACAGAACCAGGACAATCAATCAGACTAGGCACAGGCTCCAGTCCCTGAGGTTCCCTGCTGTCCTTACCACTGAATCCTTGACAGTATCAGGTCCAAGGGGCAAAGTAGCTTCCCAAAGGCCCACAGTGTCCTGAGGTCTCTGTACCCAAAACTGTCCCACTGGTGGTTCCTTCTCAGATGGTTCTGCCTGAGAGGACCTTGCTACCCTCCCAACCAGGCAGGCAGAGAGGTCCTGATAAGACCCAGAGGTCCTGGGGCAAAGGCTGGGGGGCCAGAATGCTTCAGGAGCTTGGGGGAAGAGCTACATACTGAAGGTAAAGGAATGTTTCTGTATTCTGACAACCAAGACAACCGCACCTCCTGGACATCAGCCCTGCATATCATATCACCAGGCTTGGAGGCAGGGAGCCATGCCAGGAAAATACAGACTCCAGCCAGCCAGACAGGCCTGGGTTTGAATCCAGGCACCGCTGCTCCTTTCATGTCAGACTCTAGAGCCTCAGGGTACTCCCCTGTAAAGTGGGATGACACTTGACAGCACCTGCCTTATGGGAGGGTTGGGAGAAATTGGGGGAAGTGACCCGTGTATGAGCCCAGCGCAAAGCCCAGGAGCAAGGCCAGCTCCTACCCTGTTTTCTCTCTCCCTCCACTCTCTCTCATCCCTTCCTTTGCTCCTTCCTGTGTCTAGACTTAGGCCTATAAATAGGCTGCAACGCTCAGGGCTGAGCCCACTGGGAACAATCTGAATAAAGGGGTTGCCAATCCCTGGTCCCAAGTTTCAGATCTCCCTCCTCTCCTTCCTCTTCATTCTTCCTCAAAGGGAACAGGTGCATCTCAAGTCGCAGGAACCAGACATGTGAAGGATGAGTCTTTGCCTCCCCTCCCACCGGCCCAACACCTTGCCAAGCGAGCTATATACCCACAGCTTTTCTGAACTAGAGAGACTCACTAGAATTATGTTAATTTTTTAGAATATTGTGATAACGGTATTGTGGTTATACTTCAACAACAACAAGAAGAGGCCTGATCTCTTAGAGAGACCTACCAAAGTCTTTACAGATCAAATCACATCTAGGTTCTTCTTCAAAATTAACCCAGCAGGAGTTGGGAAAAGAAAGAAGAAAGGAGTGGACGTGACAGATGAAACAAAATGGGCCACGTGTTGATCGCTGTGAAGGCCGGGAGGTGGACACATGGGGCCAGTACACGCTAGTCATTCTAGTTGTGTCTGTACTTGCTTTCTTTTTAAAAAACAAAAATACTGGGCAGTGCCTGTGGCTCAAAGGAGTAGGGCGCTCGCCTCATATGCTGGAGGTGATGGGTTCAAACCCAGCCCTGGCAAAAAAAACTGCCAATAAATAAATAAGTAAATAAAATACTACATACACATACAAGACTCACCACTGAATCCTTGACAGTATCAGGTCCAAGGGGCAAAGTAGCTTCCCAAAGGCCCACAGTGTCCTGAGGTCT